CTCTCTCTCTCTCTCTCTCTCTCTCTCTCTCTCTCTCTCTCTCTCTCCTCGCCCTCTCTCGCACTTCTAGTCATGCGTTGTGGATGAGCTGAGACACGGCCTCACGTGTCTGCGGGGTCTGCTGCCTCCTCCGCTCCAATAATAGCCTCGCTCCCCTGGCACCGTGCCCAGCGCCAGCTAACAGCACGACACCTGACCGCCGCCTCACATGCATGGACTCCTGACACGGTTACTGCCCGAACCAAATCCGCAGTCTCGTGTTGAAATACATAACAATCTCAAGTCAGATCTGTGTTTACAAACACACGCTGACTGGGAAGCTCCCCGGGCATGAGGTGGCACCAAGTCTCAGCCACTGCTGTTCGTGCGCCACCAACAGTTGGAGAATGTGAGTCACGTTTTTGCAAAGGAAAAGCCTCAACTGTATGGACCGGACTCGTCTAATGTTACACTAACAACTCAGTGTACAGTAGAGAGACCTTCAGAATGACAAACTGCATGCAAATCAAGTTCAAAATAATCTAAACAAATATGGGTCCAATTTAAAACTCCATTCATGATTGGCTTGCACATGCAACTGAGTGAATTTCCAACATCCACAACTTGTGCCATAGTGCTTCAACCAACTGAGCCTTGTATATGGAAATCATGCATTAGATGCAGTCGGCCTGTTGCCCTTTGCTGCACAAGGTATTTGTTTTAGCTCCACTGTTTTGATAATCCCCCAGGCAGCACGTGTTGCCGGTTTGTTGACTCATGCCAGAGCCATAGACAGACCCAACAGACGGGCAGGCCTGAGCCTCACCTCTTCCTGAGCTTACATGCAGACAGCCACGGCCCAGCCCCCGCTCCACCCAAACACATTGCATGTCCACCTGAAGGCTCACATGTACAGTAAGTGTTTATGAATGACCCTTAGAGACGCTGTGCTGTAAACACTGTCAATTAGCAATCCCTTTTACAGTCTGCTTTCACACAGTGCAGGAAGGAAACTATAAAACCTGCATGTATCATGTGTCATAGTGGAAAGGTCAATACAATTTAAATGTAAACTTTGCACACTCCCTTCTTCTTCTTGCCCTATTGTGATTACAGATTAGTGCTACAGAAGGCAGCACTTGTCATTTGCACTCATATCTCTAAGTATCCACAATACAAAGAATAAAAACAGCACTGCTATTTTTATTCTCTGCATGGGTAGCTTGTAATATCAGTTTCCAAATTGAACTGTTGTGGAGGCATTCCCTTACTTCACATTACATGAAATTCCTTCCTCAATGCCCATGTTGAGCTTAGCCTACCCGTGCAAACACTAATCTGCCTGGGACTGGAGGCAGGCAGAGAAACGTGAGCAGTGAGCTTCACAGGCGCAGCAGCAGCAGCAGCTCCTCTCTGTTTCTCTCTCGTCCTTTATCTCTTACTTTCACTTGTTCGGCTTATAATGCAGGGGCATGGAGAGCCAGCAACACAGGAGAGATAGCTTACAGTTAAGGTGACCATATTGTGTGTGTTTGCCCTTGTGCTGCAAAGTGTATAAACACAGCATGTGGTTTGCTTCTTTAGAGCAATGCAGTGTTTTTATGCTATAGTAAAAATAATGTAGGATATAGGATGCAAAAAGAAGAGTTGTGCTACTGAGCATTGCCAATGTATGAGCACTACTTGGGTGTTTGCAGTAGACTTCATTAACTCGGGCTTGTGTAAGTAGGTCAATATCACAGGAACTTGATAGAATTGTATGAGCCTCCAGCATCTCTCCAAACTGATGCAGTATCACACTCAGGCTCATTCAGTCACCAGAGGAAGTGTGTTAGAGGATCACAGAGGATAGCTGTGATTTATTTTATTTATAAGCGCCATGATGTGATTTAAAATCTTTAGTCTAATATCCTGGGGGTTTTAGGGTGACTGAAATCGCTTCATGTCTGGCACGCGCTCTGTCAAACATAGATTGGAAAAACATCCTTTTCAGGATTGTGCGATTTTATCACCAACATGCAGCCTTAGTGTTACTAATCCGCTATCTGTTTCAGCATCGCTTGGAGAGCGCAGCGGATGAGAGGAGAGATGTTATATTTAACAGCAGAGTCACGTTCCAGCTGAAACGCACCCTAAGCGGATGTGCGCCCTGAACCGATGAGTTGGGAACAGATGTTGCAGAGTCAAAATCGAGTCCGCTCCTACCGCACTGTGAGCTGTGTGATTCAAACAGGAGGCAGGGATGGGAGGGGGGTGCTTTCAATACAAGCAAAAGGCGCATGAGGCGGGAAAACGTGACGAGAGAGAAAAAAGTTAATGCATGGAATCGCTGACCCACTGACCAAGCTCACCATCACCGCAGGCGGCATCAGCACAGAAGCGTCCGTGAGAGCGGGGAAGCGGCGGGGCGGGAGGAGGGCCCGGGTATCTCACGCGTCGCACGCGGCTCTGCGAGGGAAGCCACGTGAGGAAGCTTTTGACGGAGCTTTCACTGGGAAGACATGAAGCTGCTGCGCTCCAGCCAGGAGCCAGAGCTTCTACAGCCCGCCAGGGGCTTATAATTAAAGAGCCAAATTAAATAGAGCAGCATGTTATGCGGCCGGGTGGTCTGACTGTGCACCAGCAGCAGCACCGCCTGCACTGTCAACCAGGCGCTGTATCTAGTTTAGGAACAGTAGGTGAAGTATCAGTATGTGGCCAGACCCAAGTTTATACTGTGAGGGAATGCCTTTGATAATAACATTCACAGGCAACTGTAAAATCATTTAATTTCTGGTGCATTATTGCACAGTTTAATATACACTTTAGTTGTTTTCTTTAAATCTCCTCTGATAATAAAATTACCCTTCCTTCAAATATATTAGAATAGGGGAGAATGGGTTCAGTGTCCCACTCAGTTTGTTTCATTCAGAGACTCCATGCTGTCAGTAAGCCTTGCATCACATGTCCTACCATATTTTATTGGGGTACTTTATTATTATTATTTTTTTAGATATTTCATTTTCTTTTTGTGCACAGATGTCCTGAATATATTGACTTTTTTTTTTGCATTGATCTCAGTCTGTGAATCTTTTTTGTGGCTGTCCAGCTTAGATGCAGTTTTTTGTCACAGTTTGCAGCAGCCCTAAGACGCAGATATTTCATTACCCATATATTTTGGGAATACTGTTTGAATTTTTGGCTCTTTCTTCTTCTTTATTTTTACTCGCAATCGCATAATGTGAAATGTGAATTTTATTGTTAATTTCACCAGCCTTCAAAGTAATGTGGTTATTTTATTTTATATTTTTTAATATTTTATTTTATTTTATTTTATATTTTATTTATTTTTTATTCTTTTCCTCGGGGGTAGCGGGATGACACTCAAAAAATTTCTGGCGAAGGATACTCAAACCCCCTTTTTATAGCCCCCCCCCCCCCACACACACACACACACACACACACACACTCACACACACACACTCTTGTATTAGCTATTACATCTATTACATGTTTTAACATGTTGACTTTATCAAAAGTGTTTATCAATCAGATAAAAACCTGGCACCAAAGTAATGATAGTTTCCAACTGATGGTGAGAAACATGGGTTTTAAAACTGCTCAGAATAATGCAGAAAACTTCCACCAGGGGTGTGCCAGAGGAGGAACATACTGTACATGTGTGCATAAAGTTATGCAGCCGACTGTGGGGAAGGTCAATGGGTCTGACTTTATCATATTAGTATCTTTTGGCAGCTAAATGTAATCTAGTTATAGTACAGCTGAGCACATTTATATTGGTATCAAGAAAGACTATACACAGCTGACTCACACATCAAAGTACAGTTGAGCCTTCACATGAGGTCAATGATGTTTCATTAAAATACTGAACTAGGCAAAAACATATTGCATGTTGAACAATTTGCATAATGAAGATGTACAGTTATACATTTTTCTAAAATTTGGGAGTATGTAAACTGTAAAAACTGAGCTCCAATATGCTTATAAAAGGGAGGAATACATAACAGGCCAAGTGTGACAGTATATATCTGCAGATGATCTACTTGGATCTATTTTGTACTTTGTATGGCACAAAAGAATCATTACAATAATCTTTTCGGTGAATTCAGCCTTTGCATGCAACCCTCCCACCCATTCATCTCTGCAGATGAAATGGGGGCTCTGTGTCACCGCACACACACACACACACGCACACACGCACACACTCATACACAATCTCATTTGATCTCGACTTTATGAGCCATACAGCCCCACCACTGCAGCCATATTTTTGCCAAGTTATGATGATGTTTATGAGCTTTGTTTAGATCGCCACACTGACCTCATGAGTGAGATGAAGTCATGTGCATTCCAATAACATATTGAAACATTAAAGGTCAATGAAACCAGTTCAAGGTGCTCACTTACATTTAGATTGCTGAGAGGAGAAATATATATGTATATTACCATTTAAATAGAAAATAAGCAATGATTTGAACAGTAAAATATCTAAATAAAAGATTGCCACAAAACCAAACATCCTCTAAACATCAAACACCAGTGAAGCCCAGCACATGCAGCTGACTAATACTACAGCTATTACATGTGATTGCTCATTTTACTGCCTTCCTTGTTCCCTGACAAACACCGGTTTGCTTTATCAACATAAACACAAAGTCATAACTCGAGTGGGTTTAGATGAGAGTAGCATGTTGACGGTGCACAGGCTGCGCCCATCACCTGTGCTGGAACGTGACTGTCGCTGTTGTAAATGATTCACCGTCAATTAGTAGAGGAGAGCAGGAAGCATGTGCACCTTTGGCTGACCTCGAGAGAGCGCTGCCTAATGCTACTTAACGGATGGGAGTCCTGCGGTTATCAACTTTTATGCTGCAGGCAATGGCCTTGATTATAGAAACAAACACGCCCTTTACGCTCAAAGTGTCTTTGTTTTTTCCTCCAGCGAGATGATAAAGAGGTAGTTGTAAGCAGTTAAAAGTTCTGGCTCTGGGAGATTATGATTACAGAGACAGCCAGTGTACAGTAGCTCCACGTGAGTTTGTTTTCATGGAGGGAAACAGGAAGTAGCCAGTCTCACTACAACCATATGGTGCGGCTCGCTGTCAGGAGAGCTGCACTCCAGGCGCTGCGTTTGACATTTGAACGCAGCGCTGTAACTTTTTTTTTGACAAGTTTGCGTAAAATCTGACAACAATGATGCACTTTTATGGAATCCAAGAACAAGCTGGCGTGATTAAATTCCCAAAGAGGGAACTTGTGCCAAAGTGTCATAAACCAATACAATTAAGCACTATAGTCAACCTCTTGCATGTAAAAAAAAAAATCACATTTCGTGCATATAAGAACTCACACATAGACAATTGCACATACAATTTCTAAATATGCACATAAATAAAATTGGAGCTTTAAGTGTTTTACACAATCATTCAAACAATACATAATGGGAATGCCACTTTGCGTTAATTAAATATTTCTTACATTTAAATAAAAGTTATATTTTATTTAAGGTGTAGGCTGAGTCATAGCTAAAATGTCATTGTTAAAATAATCTATTGATTGTTGGCAACATGAAGAATGAAACCGCTGAACAGTGGTCTTTTAATCAATTCTGACTCCCAAACAGTTGAGGCATGCCAGACATTGCTATCATAATGGAGCGGTTGCCACATGTCAAATATAAAGTTTAGATGAATCTTACCTCCACCAGGGCTGTTATCCATATCTCTTGTTGATGTCAGTCACTTTAAACAGGCTTGAAGATACACGTCCGTGAATGTCACTAGACTGGAGCAAAAGTCTTTTGAAGACAGGTGAGTAAGTCAATAAACAGCTTTGCGTAAAACACCTGCTCCATGGAGCGCACAAATGGGAAGAAGTGATGGAAATGTGTCCAGTGCGCGCAAAGTTGCTTCCCAGTAAATTGCAGACAGGTGTCTCTCTCTCTGAGTGTGCTCAGATCTGGTCTGACAGAGGTGAGTTGTGCGGGCTTGTCTTCTCAAAGATACCTGGATGCCTTCTGTGCACAGGATACTGCGCCTCGGCTCGAGCGCGTGTGATGTTTCACGAGCGGAGATTAAAAGATTCTCATGAATTCTAAGAAAGTGGAGTCAGCAAATCCGTGAACGGGGTGTCAGGCCTGACATACACACCCACGGATACAAACACCCACATCAATCACGTTTGCAGGTGAGTAAGAAATGTGACCGCCTTTCCGTTCGCTCAACTTGTGTTGTGTGTGTTTGTGTGGGATTTGGCTCACTCTTTGTATCTCGCGGAGTCCCTTCTCTCCCTCTCTCTCTCCTTCACGCTTTTGTGCCTTTTCATTGGCGGGGATCTGGGGCTGAGGGGAGTTTGATGCGCTTATTCGACCGTGGTATGTGTTCAGTAAAGCCACGCTACATGTGCGCGCTGCATGTGCCGGGGAGAGCGCTGCCCTACTGATACACATTTTATGCAAAACACAGAGCGTGTGGTGCGCAGGGATGGAGAGATTGGAGGATGAAGCACATGGACAATAGGCGTGGCTCACCGTGACTGCTTGTTCTCTGACAAGCGGCGCTGCAAACGGATGGTAAACACAGAGACACGCCAAACAACAAGCGTCAAGTTCAAAGCCCATGTGCCAAAGGAAACTGTAGATGTGCAACTAAACCTATGTCACGGCAAAAAGCTGCTGTTGGAGCGAGACGTATTGCAAACTTTTAACTGTAGCTAAACTTAAGTGTTTTGATTGTGATTGAAATGTTAATTCCTGTTTGATAATTTAAACTTGTATAAATATTTTCACATGATATTTTCAAAACTAGATCCACTCTGCACGCGTCAGTTTTCACACTTTTTATTTGTAGTTATAATTTGAAAATGTGTTGGCGCAACTTTAAGTTCTTTAACATTCATACTGCAACAAACGAAGCCTGCTGTGTATCAACATGCAGGTCAACTGTGCACAGCTTGTGGAAAGCGCCCCCCAGTGGCAATTCATGGCACTGTTACATCTGTCTATCTATCTATCTATCTATCTAGAAAAAAGTTTCTTACAGTGTCAATGTGAGAGTACACATTGATATTGCAAACAACTAGCTTTTGAAAAAGCATCCATAGACTCATAAATGTGCAGAAATCTCTATAATAATCCATCTTTCAGTCAGTCAGAAATTACATTCAACTGAGTATTTTTTTTTATCACTTTTTAGAAGTTTTTCATTTATTTTGATAGTTCATAGCTCTAGCGCCTCAGCTAAGTCTGAAACCAGGTTTATTTTTGTTTATTTCCCTCTATTTTCCCTCTCTTTTTACATCTAAGCTTTTGAAAATCAAATTCTGACAATGTAAATACGTGTTTTTGAGTTTTCATTCACTATTAAAGTGATACGCTATTGCCGAAAGGTCTAAGGTTATCAGAAATGACTATAATTTGTAAATATTAAGACATACTAACTAATTATACTTCCTTTTAAGTCCCCTTTTAAAACATACTTTTATCGGACACCCTAAGACTGTCTTTTATTTCTTCCGTTTTTATACACTTAAGTGTTTTTATCAGTTCTTTTAAAAGTTGTTGTTTTCATGTCTTGTCTGTTTTAATTATTAGCATGTAAAGCACTTTATAACTGTTTTGAAAAGTGCTTTATGAGTAAACAATAGAATAGACTTAATTACAGAGTGATGAGTCTCTGTGGGTGGAGGGAGGTGGGAGGAGTGGAGAAGTGGTGTGGGTATGGGAGGGCACCCCTGTGACTTTGGGGATGTTTCTTCTTCTTGCTCTTGCTCTTGTTATTGTTATTTTTCTTTTTTTTAAAAATCAAATTATTTTATGTTGATGTACAGTATCTGTACTTTATTTTACTACCTTATTTGATCCTACCTCTGTGCGTACTACAACATTTGATCCCTTATTGATCTCAGGGTATCATGCACAATTGTGAAGTTCAGAGAAATGAGCCTTAAATGTAGATGTTGATTATATGTGGAATCCATCTGCTCAATAAAAGATATTTAAAAAAAAACAGTATTGCAAAAATATTGCACGAGTTGACTCATTATTGCAGATGATAATATAGAGTATTATTATTATTATTATTATTATTATTATCTGCAATAATGGGTCAACTTTTGCAATACTCCTTTAAAAAAAATACTATAATTTGTTATCATTACATATTGAGTACAGCATTGCACTGGTAAATTAATAATATTTTTTATTTATTAATTTTTTTTATTATCAACTTTTAGATACAAAAGTTTTTGTTGAAATTAACCTGATGTAGCTAATGGTTTTATTAAAAAGCTGCAATTAAGAGTCATTTGTACTAATATATAAGCCTGTTTGATCATTTTACATCCAGTAAGTTGCTTTAATGACTCGTTCACTCACCAATGTTGCTTTAATCCCTTCCTCGTGCTTATTGGTGTGAAGCTCTATATAGATATTAAGTTCATTATCCCCCCAAAAGTAGATTATACTCAAACTAGACAGGCAAGGAATAGCAAATTTAGTATTTATCATGACTCAGCCTACTTATTTTGTTGTTATGTAATTACATATTTGTTTATTGGGATTTTCCATCTCCCCTTCAGTGACAGGATGGGTGCTGCAGTCCTGCTCTCCGTCACTAGGGGGAGTCACAGTGCCATAAATCCGCCCTCACGGTAGCTTCCCATCGACGCCCCAGTCTGTGAGCTGCCGGGACACAGTGACGGATTGGCAACAAACGAAGGTAATCTGACAAATGACTGAAATGATCTCTGAAGCGTGAGACCAAATGGCGTGATCTTTACAAGCTGCTGTGTTGTAGTTGGAGGACTTCTCAGAAGACTGCCCCCCCCTCCATGACTTTGTTTTGTCTCCTTCACAGAAAAACTTTCGGCGGTGTGCGTGCGCTCCTTCATCCACTATTTATGTTTCAAACTTCTGGGGGGAATGTGCTCGCGTTTGGAGCCGAGGCGTACGCTACTCCAGGCGAAGACGAAGGTAGGATTGTGTACTTTACATAAATCATCTCCTGCCGTGATTAATTGGATGTGTCTGAGGATAAACGTAGCTCGAGCTGCGTCAGTCCGGGTGTGTTTACTGTATATGTGTGTGTAAGACTCAAGCACTCATCATGAGAACACGTTATGGCAGGGCACGAGATAATTACAGGCTGCTCAAACTGTTTGGGGACTGAACAGAACAGAAGTCGTTGCCAACATACACACCTGCAAAGCACTGCTTTGCCCGAGGCTTAGAAGACAGTCTTCATCAGTGTCTTTCTGTCTGTGTGTCTCTCTGTCTGTCACCCATCCCCTAACCGCCCCCCCCCCCCTTACGCACCTTGAATGTGTGCTTTATGTGAATGATGCCAGTGAGGTGTGTGGCTGATGAGAGACTTCACTTTATTCCAGGCTCAACCCCCTCCCTGGTTTGCTTTAGATTAGCTTCCAGGACGGTTGATTAAACTCAGGAAAGCAAAGCAAATGAGTAAAGAATGCAGAACATTTTCCAGTAGTAGACTTTGTGGAATTAGCCTCATGATCAGCAGAGATGGGGTTTTTTTCTTCCATCTGGGCAGAAAAATAGGAGAAGTAGACCCTTAACATGCTCGACTTATACCATATCCATATTTATATACTAACCCCGCATGCCAAGAAGCAACAGCGAATGAAAACTTAGTGTTTTTTCATGTTTCCTGCTCAGTATTTAGTGCCCAACTTTCTCACAAGGGCAGTTTTATGTGCAGGGAAGGAGGCATGGAAAAGAAGACCTTTCCTTTTGAGCTCACAGATTTGCAGTAATTACAGAATCACTTCCATATGTGGCTCTCTGGCTGCCTTCTCGCTGCCCCCACCACCCCTCTCTCTTCTTCCCCAATGTTCTCTCTCTTTCCCTCTCCTCTCTCTTTCATTTGCATTCTCCCCCTATTCCTCATTTTTTCTGCTTTTTATTTTTTTGGCTTCGCCCTCACGCACCCAGAGCGATTTTTTTTTTTTTTTTTAAAAACCACAGCTTAAACAAAGTTTATGATAATCAGAACGTCCTGGCATTTTTGGCAAACGGCTGTGCTTTTTGGTGATTCAATTAGACCATGCTTGCCAGAAAAAAAAAGAAAAAAAAGTTGTGTGCTTCAGTGAGAGAAGCAGGCTAGAGAAAAGAGACATGGACGGGCGGAGGGAAATGTTGAAGAATACGGAAATATGAAAAAGAGGAAAGCAAAAGAATGGGAGCTCAGTGAAGAATTCGAGAGGCAGGAACGGAGCGTGAAGGAGGGAGAGGTGGAACAGAAAATGAGGCAGCGAGAAAGAGAGAGAGAGAGAGGGAGGGCTGGAGTAATGCTTTTTGACAGAGGTGGGTTCAAGATGGGTTCATGGTGACATCATGGCTGATTTTTGAGGAAAGTATAGACAGGAGAGCCGTTCACCTTTCATTGGACACACATGTTGGGGAATAGGCAGAGCGCTCATGTGCTGGCACACACGCTGGTAGCTGCGTCGACAGCCTCTGAATGCACCCCAAAAATATGCACGAAGAGCACACGCATACACACACACACTCCTCTTTTTATTTTCTCCTCTTTTCTCCCTCTCCCCCTCTCGTTTTCCCTCAGTTTCTTCTGCAGTAAAAAAGCTTTTGGCTGGGTCTCTTAACTGTTCCAAGCTTTGTGCTCATTTGTTTTTGTTAGAGGAGTACATAGTGGTATATGCCCTTCGGTCCCAGAACACATACATTTCTCCTTTGCCATGAGTAACTCATTTTCCTGTGAGTAGTATTCCTCTGTGTATGTTTTTACTTCAAGGCGGTTGGACTCTAAATGAGCGCACTTTGCCAGGCGGGATGAATGAGCTCCTTCATTTCACAGGATGTGTGTTTAAGTCTGTAACCAAGAAAGTGCAAGCAAGTGTATATTTGTGTGTGTGTGTGTGTGTGTGTGTGTGTGTGTGTGTGAATGTGTTTCTGCATGCGTGTGTGTGCACAAATGAGCGGGGTGTGTGTGTGTTCGCCCTGCATCCCCTGCCTGTCTCAGTGTGGCACCAAACTTCACATGACATCAATCTGAATGTGGGGAAATAGTGATCTCATTACAGGCATCTTGTTACTGATTAAAACCTGCCGCCACAGGCACCAGCTCCCTGCGCCCCTTCTCACCTCCCCACCACCAATCCCATCAACCCCCCTCTCCTCCTCTTCTCCCTCCCTCTACAATCCATCCCTCTCTCCGTCTCACCCCCCAGTTCTCTTTCCCTCCCCTCTT